ACTGTTAGTCACTCTTAGCAGAGAACACTGACTACCTTCAACTTTAAAGGCAATATTTTTAACAAAGGTGACGGTCAGCCAACAAATAACAAATTATTTGAAGAAAGGAAAGGGTAGAGAAAACTATAAATGATTGGAATTTCAGGAAGCTTCGAATTAGAAAACTTTCAGCTCACCATGAAATATAAAATATTTCTCTACTACTTTTCTCCACTACTACAAATGATCAAGCCAACCTCTACTTATCAAATAGCTAATTCCCTAGATGACAATGATTTGACTCAAGAACATTGTGTTAAGAATTTAAATGCCAAGGTTATCTTTTTCTCTTGTGAAAATAGGCTTCACTCTAACAGGTAATTCTTATTAGAAATTTATATACAGCACATTGAATTCATCCAATCACTAATTTGCCACATGCCGAAATAACTCCAAACATACACATACAAAATTACCTAGACTGCTTATTTACTTCACAGGCTATTTATTTGTACATGGCCTCCTCTTCTTAAGAGAAAATATAATGAAATTATCATATCTATAGCTTTAAGAAATTAAAACTACCTATTATTAAATAACCGCTAAGCAGCAAAGACATATACTAGTCCTTATGCAATTTCAACTGAGGGTGTTTATTTGCTCTCATATTTATGTATTAAAAAAAATCTTAAATGCATTATAGGAAACCCATAGATTTCCCTACTGATTTCTTTGAAATATTAGTCATGCTCCACTTAACAACAGCTATTCTTTCTGAGATATACCTCCCTAGAAAATTTTGTCTTGTGGGAACATTACTAAGTACACTTACAACAACCTAGATGGCATAGCGTACTACTAACCGAGGCTGTATGGTGCAGCCTATTGCTCCTTCACTAGAAAATGTAGTGCATGTTACTCTACAAAACAAGACAAGATTAAATCAAGCACAAGAGAAATGATGCAATAAAGATAAATAAGGCTACTACTGCCAGTGTAACACAGCATAATGTTTTACAGAAAACATTTTTTTATTAAGTAGAAAGAATATATTCTAAAATAACAAACAGCATAGTGTAGTAAATACATAAACCAGTAAAATGGTCATTTATTATCATTATAATTATTATGTATGTGGTGTACTTCTTATAAGACCAGCAGAGGAGTAAGTCTGTTTATGCCAGCATCACCACAAACGTAAGTAATGTGTTGTGCTTTGACTAATATGGCTACCATGTCACTAGGCGATAGAAATTTTTCTGTTGTTAACTTATTGAACCAGCATTGTACATGCAGTCTCTTGTTGACCAAAATGTCAATATGCAAAATGTCAAAATGCAGCACATGACTGTAGGTTTAACCAAGTTATAGTATTAAAACAGATCTAAATAATATTACTTAGATCTGCCTACTGAAGTGAATTGAAGTTCACTTTCATATAAGCACCAAGTTTCATTTACCATTCATAAATTTTCCTGTGGGCTATGCAATAAACCTAACAAGCTCACGGGGGCCACATGGCAGGAATGGCAAGCCAGTGACCAAAACTAACCACAAAGGATGGTCTGATTACGAATTTCTAAGTAGGCAGGTAGTCATGTCATAGGCCTATAGCTTACTTAGCAAAGGTTATCTTTACTTTAAGTGAGCCCTGTCCACTGTTCTTAAGCATCTAGTATAACATATCTTCAAAATGTCAAAGTAATTTTCTTTTCTAGACGCCCTGTAGGCACAAACACAGGCATCAGAGCACAAAACCACCAAAACATGAGACCACCAGAGCACAAGACTACAGAACACTTCATTATTATCTTGTTGTGCCACATACCATCTCTACCATCTCTACTTGCTGTAAATGTTCATTATTAACTATCCTGTACCCACCAATGTAAAAAAAAAAAATCTTTCTCCATTTGCATTTTACTCAATGCAAGATTTTCTCCCTGATTTGCTCTCACCTCCTTAATCTACCACAAATGGATTTCATATAACTCTCTTTATATCACTTTGATTCAAATGTATAAAATAAGATGCAAAACCGTCATTCTCTGAAATGTTTTCTCAATCCACTGTGATTTCTGCTTCCTAGCAATTGTCACCAGTTTGGCTGAAATAAACTCACAAAAATTCTCCACAAGTTGGACATTTCTTATGTCTACACCTACATTACTATTATCCTTACAGATTAGGAGTAAGAAGTTCAGGGAGGTTAACTTAATACATTTTTAAATAACAGTTGTAATTGGAATACAAATATATATGCTATATGTGTATCAGTATAGCATTCTATATTGTCAAAAACCAAAAAAGCATATCATTAGTAAAGTTTTGTCTTAATTTATGAAAGACAGCAAAATATACCTCACCAAAATATGTCTCTTTGGAATAGGATTATTTTGAGCTGATTATTTTTAGAAATAGCAAACACAAGAAAAAGTTCTGAAAAAAGAGAAGTTATAAGTTGGCTTTTTTTGTAAGAGAAATCTACATTTATAAAGGAATCTCCATTAATAACATCTACGAATCTCTATTAATAACATCTACAAATCTCCATTAATAACATCTACCTCGAGTACTAGAAAGAGAAGCATTACTTTAAATCACAAAAACTTATCAATGTATGAGGCACTAACTTAAATCTGCATAACAACCTTACCCTTATTCTAAGTGCCTTTCCAAGTTAACTTCCATAACTGGCCTCCACCCACCTCAACATGTTATTTTTGTCTTTAGCTGAGCTTCAGTTGATAGCTTAGGCCATCTCAGAAATCCACAGTTTTCTGGGGTATCTCTCTGGTATAAATGATGTAGATACGTTAATAAACTTGTTTGTCTCCTGTCAATGACACCAAATGTCTTCAAAATTTTGATTTGATTTGTGATTACAGCGTTAGAAATCATGTGTTCTCTCCCTCTTCATCCCTCAGAGACCTAGTTTTTTCCTCAGGATAATCAGCAACCACAGAGGCAGAAGATAGCAGCCCAGACCTGACTAATGGTCACAAGGTCTGGACCTCTGGCGGGCTAAAGATAACATCTTGACCTAAGTTATGTTTCAGGTCCTAAACCCTAAGATAAATTGTATCCTTGGGCACTTTTCCATAAAACCAGACAGAGGGATGCCAGAGCTGTCCTCAAGACTGGACTTAGTATCCTTACCTCACCTCTAATTAATCAGTTTCTCACACAGCTCTGAACCCCTAACCCGGTGTCCTACAATTTTGTCGTATGTAATGTATAACCATCAGAGAGTCAAGTCTCTCACAAGATGAACTCATCCACATTCTAGAATGGCCAATTCTATAAACTACTTCCATTCTATATGGCAAACTCCTGCTCATGCATCTCTTTCAACTAGCACACGTAGGTGGGCAAACTTAAATACAGGATTTGGTAACATTAATCTGTCTCTTATTGCAAGAAGTCTCAATCAGGAACTCAAAAAAATAAAGAGAAAATTATTTTCCCTCCCCTACATTTACTTTCAAAAAGACTGGCACACAATACACCATGTTCCTAAAGCACTGAAGTAACATACCACTAAATTCATTGTAGTCCTAAAACTATTAGCCAATTGTTGTTTCCACTAAACACTGCTAAAAATAATAACATGTCCACCCACTCTCTACTAAGATGTTTACTAACATGAAAAGGTTATTTACATATTCTTGCTTATAAGATAATTGTTTCTTTGATATGGGGGTTCTGTTTGAAAGGGAGATGGAAGCATTTTTCATGGCAATTTTAACTTACTAAATGAGTAATGATCTTGGTCAGCACTAGGAAACTATGAAATGCACACATCTTAAAAGATTATCTCAAGTTATTTATCTCCACCTATTTGACAAAAAAATATGCTATTCTAAATGAATAAAAATGTTTTATTCAAGGTTCAAACTAAGAGATTATGAGATTATGTGTATTACTATAAAATAACACGAATAAAGACTGAATTTACAACCTAAATGGAAAACTTAAAGAAAACCAAGAACAGAAAAGAGAAATGCTATTTGTGTAGTATAATAAAAATATTTTTGATCTATGTCCCCAATCGTGCCATAAAGCTCCTAAATACTTGAAATTTCCTGAGTGATATGACTCTTTTATTATTCCTAAGAGCCCCTTTTGAGCTCATCAGAATTTATGCTGATGAGATGACTTACCATGAGTCCTTATATAGCCTCGACATGAGGTGGAGGGTATGGTTTGGGGTCAAGGATGCAAGTTAAGCTCTATAAATTCTTGAACACTGACATTTGATGAGTTTATGAGCTTCCAGCTTGTTAAATATGTCCCAGCTCCTACAGGACCTGAAGCTCCAAAGCTCTGAACACTTGCAGACCTCACCCAACATTCTTCATCCTTTGCCTGTTCATCTTTATCCTTCTAATAAACTGCTAAATCTGTTCCTGGGCTTTGTGAGCCATTCCAATAAAGAATTCTATCAAATCTAAAGAAAAGGTCTTGGGAATCTTTGATTTAAAGCTTATCTATTAGTAGCACAGAGAACCACTTTAACTAGTCATCTGTAGTGAGGCAGTCATGTGGAACTGTCCTTTACCTGGGGCATCACTCTATCTCCAGGTTAGTGTCATAACTGAATTAAATTTGTAGAACACCACTCATAATTGGAGAAATGCTTGGTTGTGTTGGAAAACAATCTAGTGTTACTCTTTTCAAAATGTCAACATTTTTATTTATAAAGATAGAAAACTTGATCTCTTTCTACTGTGATACGTTTTTAAAAACAGATTTTTCACAAGGGCAAGCAAAACAGCAATACACATATAGGTTGTTATAAGTTTTACAAAATGATCAAATTTATTGAGTATTTAAATGGAATTAAATAAAACTCACATTTCTATCTGCTGTACTTTCTTTCTCATTGCTATCTGCGTTTATAAGATTAGAACAAACTTAAAAAGAACGGTAAGTGTCCTTGATAAATAGTAAAAACACTGACATTTATACATGATGCAAACATAAATCAAGCAGAAACTGTAAGAGAGAAAAAACATTACCTTTTGGATAATCTTCCAATAAGAGGTTGAAGTGACCTAATCGACAAAAGAAATCAGCCTCCACTTTTCCTTCAGCTTTTAAGATTAAAGATTCATAGCAGCAAACAGCCTAGAAATAAAAAATGTAAGCATTAAAAAAAAGGCAAAATCTTAATTGCATCCTTTATGAAAGAATGCAACATATACTACATAATATTCAAGAAATAAAAGCAATCAATATTTCACTTCTACCACTAACTCGGGATTCAATTTCTGAGAAGAAATCGCTAAGTATTTACTAATGGAGTTTAACCATCACCTTATGATCTAAGTGCTTTCCTATATATTCTTTTAAATGGTATGAAAAAAAGAAATTCCTTAATGACTTTATGAGTTATGAATCTAAATGATTACTTTGGTCTTTATTCATATAACAGAAACTACTCTCGAATAAGCACAAATTTCAGCAGCTAGTAACCACATATCATTTTCGAAAATTAGAAATGTGACAAGTCAAAATTGAGACATGTTGTAATTGTAGACTACACAACAGATTTCAAAGACTACATTCAAAAAAGTGTAAAATATTCACTAAAATTTTATTAACCATATTTTGACTGTTAGGTTAAATAAAAGATATTAAAATTAAAGTTAATCTTTTTCTTTTTACTATTTTTAATACAGCCATTATAAAATGTAAAATGAAAAATGAAAAATCTACTTCACAATACATTCTACTGGACAGAGTCCTTCAACAGTAGTTATTTGTAATGATCAGCTGTTTTTGTAAAGAAACTATGCTAGCTTTTAGATTAGCATATAGTCTCTTTCAATTGTTTTCTTCCTAATCTTCCTTATATATTTCAAAAATACTAACTGTAACATTATCACACCCCAATACACACAGACACAGGCATTCTTTCTGAAGAATTAATTATTTTTGAACTACACAAGTTTACGGAAGGAAGAAATTAAGATTTTTGTAGTAAAACATCAGAAGTGTCCTGAAGTTTCTCTGCAAACAGACTTGCTACAAACCACAAAGATCTTAAAAATGTTAACTTCTTTCTGTCTCAGTCCTACGAATATAATAACTGGTGTATTTAGAGGGACCACTAAAAAAATGAAATGTATATATTTTCTTACA